GACAAAAGTAAGTACTTCTGAATGTGAATCCAACATAAGTACACCAGCAAGGGGTAATTGTTGGTCAAAGCTCGCATTGGCTAGACGTAATCTGCAAGGTATTTCAGAACAGAGGGAGTAGTAATGTTTCATAACTTTCAAGCGAGTGTGGAGGGAGCAGAAGAACCGTCGCCTGCTTTGCAAGAATGTTTTATATTTATCTTCTTGAGACAATAAATCATGATACACGTAACATCTTGAGCAAACACATGATTCATTTTGCAGTACATATTTTTGTCCGTTATATTTTATATCGATTGAATGTGCCGAGATGCGTAGGCTAGGCAGTGTTACCCAAGGACCAACTTACTATTGAAACCAAACAGCACGCACCAGGTACATGTACCCGAAAATCAGCATGTCGTCGGAGTTCAACCTAATTTGCGCGGCATAAGTGGAAGAACCTGAAATGCTGAAAAATTAAAACAGTTAAAATGTGGTACAGAGTTTTAAATGGGGTAAAATTGCTTAAATGAGGTAACCCCTGTAAAAAATGACAAAAGATGGGATTAAGAAAATAGAATTTTTTTTTTCATACGCCTCCCAGCTGGGAGCCGTCATCTTGGGCGAAGTTATTGTTGCTTCTTACTTGGCATATATGCAGCGAACTATCCTCGTGAAGACTTGGTAAAAGAACTAGCTAGTTTCTAGTAGAGCCACTGAACAGCACCTCAGTTGTCGAGTTGCCAAGTGTGTTTATCTCCTATGCTTCTAAAAAACAATGCCTCGACAGTCTCAAGGAACTCTCTCCAACGAATCAAATACAAGTACAATGCCTGATCATAGAATACAGGTACAATGCCAGACCCTGACTAGTGTTCTTGCTGTGCAAACCCCAACAAGAAACCCCAACAAGAACCAGCTCAGTTTCTCAGAAGGTCCAAGAACGAGATCAACCACTGGAGCAACAAGAATCATTCCTTCTCTGTGGCTCTTGGTGCGTGCCTACATACTTGCATCTCTCACTATAAATTCTACCCATCATTCATTCGGATGACATAACAACTGCCTGCATTCATCGACGGCTACTTGTACGTAGCTAGGATCGCCGCCGCCGAGCTAGATCTCTCAGTTATACTTGCGTCAATGGCGTGTCCACCGCACGCAATCATCATCCCCTACCCGGCGCAGGGCCACGTCATCCCGCTCATGGAGGTCGCGCACGCGCTGGCCGACAGGGGCTTCAACGTCACCTTCGTCAACACCGAGTTCAACCACGCCCGTGTCGTCACCGCCATGTCCAACGGCGCCGGCAGTGGGCTGGGCCGGATCCGGCTCGTGGAGGTACCGGATGGCATGGGCCGCGGAGAGGACCGGAACCAGCTGGTGAGGCTGACCATACTCATGGCGGAGTTCATGGCGCCGCGGGTGGAGGAGCTCATTCTCCGGAGCGGCGAGGACGGCGCGTGCCCAGGCAAGATCACGTGCATGGTGACGGACTACAACGTCGGGTATTGGGCGGTGGACATTGCGCGGAGGACAGGTATCCGGGTGGGGGCCGTTTGGCCGGCGTCGGCCGCCGTCATGGTCACCCTGCTCAGCTTTCCCAAGCTGATTGAGGACAACATCATCGATGCAGAAGATGGTAAGTAGTGATCGCTGAGCTCCCAAGCTGATCGAGCAGCTTATTTGACTTCTCTTACATTATTTACTGACAAGTTCGTCTAATGCATGCAGGGTCTACGGTGGGTGAAGGAACATTCCAGCTGAGCCCCGACATGCCTCTCATGCAGAGCGCCCACCTCGCATGGAACTGCATCGGAGACCACGACCAACAGGCCACCCTCTACCGGCTCCTTGTCGACGGCGTCCGCGCAATGGAGCAGTGCGACTTCGTCGTCTGCAACTCCTTCCAGGACGCGGAGCCGGCGTCTTTCAAACTCTTCCCCAACGTCCTCCCCGTTGGGCCGCTACTCACAGGCGAGCGCAGCGGCAAGGCGGTCGGCCACTTCTGGCAGCCGGAGGACGACGAGTGCATGTCCTGGCTCGACACGCAGCCGGAGAGATCCGTAGTGTACGTGGCCTTCGGCAGCTTCACCATGTTTAACCGGCGCCAGTTCGAGGACCTCGCGCTGGGGCTGGAGCTCTCCGGCCGGCCGTTCCTGTGGGTCGTGCGCCCAGACATCGGCCACGGCGCCGTCCACGACTACCCGGAGGGCTTCCTGGATCGCGTTTGCGGTGTCGGCGGCCAAGGCAAGCTCGTCTCCTGGTCGCCGCAGCAGCGTGTGCTGGCGCACCCGGCGGTGGCGTGCTTCGTGTCGCACTGCGGGTGGAACTCCACCATGGAGGGCGTCCGGAACGGCGTGCCATTCCTGGCCTGGCCCTACTTCGCCGACCAGTTCGTCAACCAGGTGTACATCTCCGACGTGTGGAAGGTCGGCCTCAAGGCCGTCGCCGACGACTCAGGAGTCATAACCAAGGAGCACATCGCCGGCAGGGTGGAGGAGCTGATGGGGGACGCCGGCATGAGGGAGAGGGTGGAGGCCATGAAGAAGGCCGCGCACGAGAGCATTCAGGAAGGGGGATCCTCGCACGGAAACTTCGATGCTTTTGCGGAGGCCATGAAGAATGCGGCGCCTGAGAGTGTTCAGGACGGGGGCGCCTCACCTGGGAACTTCCATACTCTAGCGGAGGGTATGAAGGCATGATCATCTGCTGCTGCTGGAGTGTATGTGTGGTAGTGTGCAATTTTGCATTGCCACACAGAATAAAAAGTTCGACCATCACAATTTGCATTTATATTTGGCGCTTTTTCTCTTTGTGAGTTACTTCCGGATGAAGGGAGGACAATATAAGACGTTCTTCGACACTGTCAGACTCTAAACACATCTTAGAAAAAATTACAGAGATAGTACCTGAGAATTTTGGATGGGAACTTTCTGTTTTGGATGCGTCCGTAGATAACATGATGAAGAGCAGCAACGTACGTAGCCCCAAGGCCAAGACAGGGAGGCCACGGATGCAGGATGTCAGCCACTTCCTATTCTACGCTTAAAGCAGAAGTTATAGCTGTAACGGTACACAGCGCACACACCACCTAATCGCTTGCGTAGTGAGCCGGCCCATGCGGAATTTTTTCCGCTGGTTTTTGGAAGGTTCCCCCAGTTTTTGGTGCGGTTTTTTCTGTGGTTTATTTTAGAACGGTTTCTATTCGGTTTTCCTTTTTCTTTTTCTTCTTTTTTTCTTCTCTTAATTCGTGATTTTTTTCAAATTCATGATATATTCTCAAATTCATGAGCTTTTTTTATAACCTAAAATTACTTTTAAATTTATGAACTTTTTTTAAATCCACAACTCCTTTCCAAATCTGTGAGTATCTTTTAAATCCGCAAACTTTTTTGAAATGAATGGACTTTTTAAAATCCACAACTCTTTTCCAAATCCGTGGTTTTTTCAGTGGTGAACTACTAAAACAGTAAAGATACGATAAACTAGCCATGTTGAATCAATGTGAAGTGGCAGCCCATTAAATAAGCAGATTTATTTTTGATCAAGATTGCTTTTCACACAAAAACTTGACAGGAAGGGGAAGGAAGGAGGGGAGGGCATACCTCGTCTATGACCTGCCGTTCGTCAGGGAGGGGTCCGAGATGCTGCTGCTCCTGCTACTGCAAGCTTCTGGTCCTCTATAGGGAGGTCGGGGCGCTGCATCGGAAGGCCGGCAATAGGGCGCAGGTGGAGCCCATGATGGCCCTCGCGGGTACATACAAGAAACTGAGTTACATCAGTTTTAAGTGACTAGAAGAATAGCTATTAATCAGCTGCCTCCTCCGAATAAACACAGGAAATCGCAGCAGAGGTCACCCTGGAAGAAGAACAGGGCATGAAAAACAAATGTAAGGCAGTAGCTAGGCAGGCATTGTTACATCCATCGAGTCGAGCAGGAAAAAAAGTGAAAGATCATAAAAGGCTGCATTTGTAAAAGGTCATAAAAGTCGAGTAGAATAACATTTTTTTTCACAAAAAAGGAGAGTGAACTCTTGGCCTCTGCATCAGGTATATAGACATATAGTATTATTATGATAGACAGAACAACCAACATATATTATTATAATTGACAAATCACGTTCAAGCAACTAAGTAGTGCTGCGACACTAACAATGACTAATACCCTACATTGACGACTGAGTTATGACTTATGAATCCATGGTTGGCAACTTGGCATATGTATAGGACTGACTTGTGCAAGCCAAAGATTATGTCACAACATGAGAACTTGGCCACATGCACCACACTCGGAGCAAGGTAATTTCCACCAGCCACAACTAGATCAGAGAAATATATCTGCTCATCAGCAAGTCAAAGATTATGTCACAACTTAAAAAGAACTTGGCCACACTTGCAGCAAAGTAATTTCCACCAACCACAACTAGAGAAATATATCTGCACATCGACATCACAGCTAGCTTTCATTGTCCTAGATTGCCGCCGCAGGTCCACCATCGTTCATGATCTCCACAACTTCCATGAAATCGGAGTTCGCCACTAGCTTCTCGAGTGATCTCCACAATCTAACAATGACGATTGACTTAGGACTTCTGAGGCCATGGTTGACATATGTATATGACTGACTTTGTTCAAGTCAAAGATTATGTCACAACTTCAGAAGAACTTGGCCACTCACTTGCAGCAAGGTAATTTCCACCAACCACAACAAGAGAAATATCTGCACACCGACATCACAGCAGCTTTCATTGACCTTGACTTTGCAATGTAAGACTGCTTTGCTTCTAGCTCAATCCACACGTGCTTCATATGAGGACAACAAAAGTATGATCCAAAGAAGCAATATTTTGCTGTGCACAATACAATACTGCAGGAGTTGGTCAGGGGATGCTTTTCCAGAGAATCTGACCAACTGCAGCAAAATACTGCCAAATAGTAGACGGCAAGCTTGCTTATGTGATTATGCCTCTCCATCTTTCTTCATTTTGTCCAGTTACTTCTGTTCATCAGGAGCCATGAGAAGCATCAAGAGTCTCTCTTTGCTCCAACATCTCCTCTTCTTCCTCGTCCTTCATCTTTCAGAGCTTGCTACCGGACAACAAGACCAATTCGTCTACTCCGGTTTCGCAGGCACCAACCTCGCCCTCGACAGCACCGCCACCATCACACCAGACGGCCTGCTTGAGCTGACAAATGGCACCTTCCGTCTCAGAGGCCATGCTTTCCACCCGACTCCATTCCACTTCGGCAAGGCGCCCAACGGGACAACGGTTCAGGCTCAGTCCTTTGCTGTCTCGTACGTGTTTGCTATCTACTGCGTCCAGGCCCAGACCTGCGGCCACGGCATGGCCTCCATCATCGCCGCGAGCAGCAACTTCTCCGACACCATGCCCACCCAGTACCTGGGGCTCATCAACGACCACAACAACGGCAACCCAGCCAACCGCTTCTTCGCCGTCGAGCTCGACACCAACTGGAACGACGAGTTCAAGGACATTGACAATAACCATGTCGGGATCGACATCAACAACCTCGTCTCCGTCAACTCCAGCAGCGCCGGCTACTACAACGACCACGACGAGGGTAACTTTCAAAACTTGACGCTCGCGAGCTACAAAATGATGCAGGTGTGGGTGGAGTATGACGGAGGTCGCAGGCAGATCAGTGTGAGCTTGGCTCCCGCAGACATGGCCAAACCCACCAAACCACTGCTCTCCACCACCTACAACCTCTCAACAGTGCTCCCAGACATGGTATACGTCGGCTTTTCCGCCTCGACGGGCTCATTCGACTCGCGGCAGTATGTGCTTGGTTGGAGCTTCGGCATCAACAGGCCTGCTCCGGCAATCGACGTCACCAAGCTGCCCAAGCTGCCTCGTCAAGGTCCCAAGGCTAGATCCAAGGTACTGGAAATCGGACTGCCAATAGTTTCAGCAGCATTTGTTCTTGCTGTGGGCACCACCGTCATTCTTCTTGTCCGGAGGCGGCTAAGGTATGCTGAGCTTAGAGAAGATTGGGAAACTGAATTTGGGCCCCATAGGTTTTCATACAAGGACTTGTTTCATGCCACCAAGGGATTTAAGAACAAGAATCTACTGGGGATTGGAGGATTTGGAAAGGTGTACAAGGGGGTGCTTCCAAAGTCGAAAGTGGAGATTGCTGTGAAAAGGATCTCCCACGACTCGAAGCAGGGGATGAAGGAATTTGTTGCAGAGGTTGCAAGCATCGGCCGCCTCCAGCACCGCAATATCGTGCAGTTGCATGGCTACTGCCGTCGCAAGGCTGAGCTTCTTTTGGTGTATGAATACCTGTCGAACGGAAGCCTCGACAAGTACCTGTATGATCAGGAGAAGAAGCCTACTTTAACCTGGGCCCAGAGATACAAAATCATCAAAGACATTGCGTCTGCCTTGCTCTACCTTCACCAGGAATGGGAGAAAGTTGTGTTGCATCGAGACATCAAGCCAAGCAACGTGCTCCTCGATGATGGACTGAACGGGCGGCTGGGTGATTTCGGCTTGGCAAGGTTATATGACCACGAGACTGGACCTCAAACCACACATGTTGTTGGCACCATTGGATACCTAGCTCCTGAGCTAGCACACACCAACAAAGCAACCCCACTTAGTGATGTGTTTTCCTTTGGCATGTTTGTTCTTGAAGTCACTTGCGGGCGAAAGCCCATCGAGCCAGCATCACAAGGCAACCAACTCACCTTGGTCAGATGGGTGATTGACCATTGGCACCAAGGAATTCTCACAGATGCAGTGGATACCAAGCTCCGAGGTGCCTACAATGTTGATGAGGCATGCCTAGCTCTGAAGTTAGGATTGCTGTGCTCACACCCATTGATCAATTTAAGGCCCGACATGAGGCAGGTTCTGCAGTATCTCAATGGTGATATGCCACCGCCAGACCTGAATCTGACACACATGAGCTTCAACATTCCATCCTTGATGCAGAATGAAGTTTCAATAGATGACTTGCGTGCAGCCTTGATGGTGTAAATTCCACTTTCTTATTCCAATTTAGATGCACATTTGTCCAAACTCTACCATTTGTCCAATGTATTTACATGTGGAAGACCTATATAGAGAATTATTCTTGGTTAGTATGAAAAGCTCTTATTTTGTATGGTTTATCATAGCCTGTAAGAACAAGACCTAGATATGTAGGGCGTGTTCAGGAGAACACAACTACACAAGTATTTACATGTATAGGCGCTATGCACTTGTTGGGAGTAGCATGGTGCCTACCCCTTAGGGTATGTGCAATGGTAGAGAAGACAATATTCCCTAAACCCACCACAACGGTGGCCGGGTCGTGCTCAACAAGTGGAACCCATGCCTTCAAGTGTTGTGCCACTTAATGAACACATACATGCCTCCAACACGAACTCATATACACACTTGTTCCATAAGTGGTCTTTGCTTTGAGCGACCAGAGCATAGTGGGCTTTTTGCAAAGGCATGTATCCGGTTGGAGGGAGCAGCCAAGGAGATGTTTACCCCAGATGGTGATGGTTTAGTCTTCGGATCCGCCCTCCAATACCTTAGGATGTACTCTTTTCGTTGAACCATGCCATTCTAATCTTTGTACGTGTGAGTTTGTCATGGTGCAGTGGTGAAGTACTCCCCACTAATGCCAAGAGGTTCTCTGCATTGCACCTCTACAAGAATAAGGCTTGCCTTGTATAATCCTTTCTCCGACCTCACCTGGTGCGGAAGCTTCTAGAACTGGGTTTGTCTTTTTTTTTACGGATGAGTTTGTCTTTGTTTGGACTGTTGTGCATCTTGTTCTGTACAGACAGGGTGTGAACTCTATGCAGTCGTATCGCCTCGATGCAACGTTGGAGTCAATAAAGCTCCCATTGAGAAAAGGGTTGTCCTACAACAGTTCCTGACAATGTCCAATTTAGAATGCTACATACTCCTAGACGTCTGCCTTATGCACGTGTAGCCATGGAAAGCTACATAGACGAGTGACTTGTGAGGCCATGTGTAGTAGTCAACATGGAAAAGCAAGGCCGACGCACATGAGATAAATTATGAAGGCATGCGTAGCTGCAAATAAATTATAGCCGCAGAGCAAAGATTTTTCCACTACTTACCTAACCATGTGTCCTGAAAGTCGGATTCCCTCCATGGTAGGTAATCTTTACACATCACAAACTGAAGCTATGATGTTAAGTTGACTGCACGCATTTATCTAGAGTAGTAATCATAAATAACTGTATCATAAGGAAAACATGATTAAAATAAAATTCTATTCTGATTTATGCTACAGGCTGTGTAAATTTGGGTGTCAGTTCTTTCCAGGAAACAGTAAAATATTTATTGTTTAATTATACAAATCAGAAGAAAAAAACATGGTAGCAGCCATTATAGACGTACTGAAATGACACTGCATAACAATGACCAATGTGGAAAGCTACATGGACGACTGACTTTTCAAGTCATGCATGCATGTGTAACCACCGAAAGCTACATATAAAATAGACTTGTGAAGCTATGTGTAGTGGAGAATATGGGAAAGTAAGGACGACTGACTTTTGCACTGAAGTCATGAGATGAGTGGCTAAGAATTTCCTACCCTGCAAATAAATTACAACCATGAGGGAAGGATTGTGCACTGAAGTCATGCCTATCATGTTTTTTCAAAACATGTTCTTAGTATAAAATACCAAAACTATCAATGTCAGACAACGATGCCTGTGGAAAAGAGAGGGCAGGATAACAACTTTTACCTCACTGCAAATTAAGTTAAATAGCATCGCAGTCTGCTCCTGCAAGCACAAAGAAGCACCCATCTCACATGAAGTTCCTCTTCCTCTGTTTCCTCCTCTGCTCTGGCCTCGAGCTTGCGTTTTTCACTGCAGCAAGTGATGACCAACTCTTGTACCATGGCTTCACAGCCGGTACCAACCTCACCGTCGACGAGGCTGCTTCAGTCACGTCGAACGGACTCCTTGAACTAACCAATGGCTCGCTTGGTTGCAAAGGTCATGCGTTCTACCCAACTCCATTGCACTTCCGCAAATCGCATGATGATACCGTGAAATCTTTCTCAGTCGCCTTCGTGTTTGCCATCCACTCTAGCTACCCAATCATGAGCCGACAGGGCTTGGCTTTCGTCGTTGCCCCAAGCATGAACTTCTCAACTGCATTGGCCAATCAATACTTGGGCCTCATGAACTCCCAGAACAACGGCAACTTGAGCAACCACATCTTCGCCATCGAGCTAGACACCGTCCTAAACATCGAGTTCAAAGACATCAACACCAACCATGTAGGTATTGACATCAACAGCCTCCAGTCTTTAGAGTCCAACCCTGCAGGATACTATGATGATAGGAATGGTACCTTCCAAGACATGGTTCTTGCTAGCGGTGATGCAATTCAAGTGTGGGTCGACTACAATGGTGAAGCCAAGAAAATCAGTGTGACCATGGCTCCCCTTCAAATGGCGAAACCTACAAGGCCACTCATCTCGACAGATTATGACCTCTCAAGTGTGTTACAAGATCCATCCTACATCGGCTTCTCATCTTCAGGTGGAGAGGTCGACTCAAGACATTATGTGCTTGGTTGGAGTTTTGGGATGAACAAACCAGCCCCACTGATCAATTCTGCGAAGCTGCCAAAGCTACCTCAGCCAAAGCATCAATCAAAGCTGCTGAAAATCATCCTACCTATAGCGAGTGCAATTTTCGTATTTGCTGTGGGTTCTATGGTCATTTTACTTGTGAGGAGAAAATTGAGGTATGCTGAGCTAAAAGAAGATTGGGAGATCGAGTTCGGGCCACATCGGTTCTCATACAAGGATTTGTTCCATGCCACAGAAGGATTTAAGAACAAACACCTACTTGGTGCAGGAGGGTTTGGGAAGGTATATAAAGGGACCCTTCCATCAACTAAACTAGAGGTTGCTGTGAAGAGGGTATCCCATGACTCCAGACAGGGCCTAAAGGAGTTTGTTGCTGAGGTTGTCAGCATTGGCCGCATCCGACATCGTAACCTTGTTCAGTTGCTTGGCTATTGTAGGAGAAAAGATGAACTCCTTTTGGTGTATGACTACATGTCAAATGGTAGCCTTGATAAGTATTTGTATTGTGATGATCAAATGCTTATACTAAACTGGGCTCAGAGGTTTCGGATAATAAAGGATATTGCATCAGGCTTGCTCTACCTCCATGAAAAATGGGAGAAAGTGGTCATCCACCGTGACATCAAAGCAAGCAACGTACTCCTTGATAGTGAAATGAATGGGAGGCTAGGTGACTTTGGCCTTGCAAGACTTTATGATCATGGAACTGATATGCAGACCACACATGTGGTTGGTACCATTGGGTACCTAGCCCCAGAACTGATATGCACAGGTAAGGCAACTCCTCTCACCGATGTGTTTGCCTTTGGGATTTTCCTTCTTGAGGTTGCCTGTGGGCAAAGGCCAGTTAACAGCAATGCACGAGGAGATCAACCTTTGTTAGCTGATTGGGTTCTTGAGCATTGGAATAAGGGATCACTGACTGAGGCAGTAGATACGAGGCTACAGAATGACTATAATGTTGACGAGGCATGCCTAGTGCTAAAGCTAGGACTACTATGTGCACACCCGTTTACCAATGCAAGGCCCAACATGCAGAGTATCATGCGGTACCTCGATGGCGATTTGCAACTCCCAGACTTGACAGATACAGACATGAGCTTCAGCCTGCTCTCTCAAATGCAGGGTCAAGGGTTTGACCGTTACGCATTGTCATATCTTTCAGTAAACACGAGCATTGGCACAATATCTGGTCTTTCAGGAGGAAGATGATACCAATGTTGGTTGATGTTATCATATATGTGAGCTTGCATGCCACATTTTGTTTACTACCAAGTCATGTAATGTTTGGGGCTAGGTTAGACTTCTCAGAGGCTTTTCTTATTGTGAGAGTAGTGCGTAATTGCTTTTCGAATAGGGTTTACAGCTCATAATTTTAATATCTAAATGAAGAAGCTACCAGCGTACTTGTGGGTTGATTTACATATGCATCATTCAATTGCTTATTACGTGGTGTCTCACAGCCCACAAATAAATACTATCTTTGTATTAATGGGTTGATCTACATGTATTATTCAGTTGCTTATTGCATGGTGTTTTACAGCTCACAAACATATATGTATATGACGTAGAAACTGTGGGAAGTGTATCTACCTCCCTGGAGGAGGCTGCGTTTATATATTTATTAGTTACAAACAGAGTAAAGGTAGGATTGCAGCCATCTCCACCATTAGAGATGACACACAACGATGAGGCGGCGATTCTGCAGCCTATCTTTCCTTCTCCAACAACCTAATGACGCCGCCGCCCCTTCGCAAGCTGCCCCCATCACACCTTCTTCCCTCCCGTCACCGCTCAGCAGCCCCACAATACCATCCCTCTATTGGGACCGAGTGTTACCACCCTGTGAGCTCGCCACCATGCCCGTTATTCTTTCCAGCCTGACTAGCCGTCGGTTGTGGACCCACGCAGTCCCTCCTCTCATCACCACCACTTATGCTGCCAAGCTGATGTGCGACGTCTAATCTCATCATGTATGATAAAGGCTACACAAGTGGAGTTCCAAACACTGCCCCCACTGATACGACCCTAGATGTAATTAATCTTTCAACCCCACCCATTTTTAACTCCAGCAGCAGGCAACTTTAAAACAAAATGAAAAGAGTCTACAGTACTTTATTTAGCTTATTAAGTGGCAACTTAGCAAGGACTGAAAATATAGTCTGGCTGGCTTCACAGAAATATTGTACTATAACCACTACCTCAGACCAGTACGTAAATATGCCAATACATGTCAGTGTGCCAGACTAGAACAAAATCCAAAATGATTTCCATCAAATGTAAACCAAGACTAGAATAATTACCAGCTGACCTTGTCGGAGGTCATCTCCCTTTCTGAAAATTATCTTGGATGCTCCCCCATTCGCCGTCTTAAATGTAAGACGCGGTGGATTTCAAGGCA